GATATGTGTTTCGCTAAATGATTGAGACGAAAGGGTGCAGTTTTGAAAGGGTACACTGGAAGTGCACCACTGGCTAACGTGATCTTTGAGTAACTCAGTTTGATCAATTACTCATTCTTTTAAGGTTCTTCGATCTGACATTTAGTTTTGAGTCGTGAACACACGGTTCCTCTGCTGCCGCTTGCTCCATTTGTGTTTAAATTTTCAGCTCTTTTAGATTTGTCTATGTAACTTCTATTTCCTTTGGATAATACACTACCAATAAGGGCCTTTTCTCTTCTCGTGTTGGTGCCCAATTTTCCAATTTGTATCAAACAGCCCATTTTTACGAATAACATTTTACGTGCTTAAGCCTTTTATGGATAACGATTTTCTGCTCCATATTAGTGTTGCCCTGTTAAGTCCCTGAAATGGTTTTGTTAACTCACACATTGGACGTTACTTTTTTACCTTTGTATTTTTGACTGATTTAGCCCTAAACTTACGTGGAGAGACGTTCAATACGTGATTGCATTGACCGCCAATCCAAAGCCGTTCAAAGATGGCGACTTTACAAAGAATGGAGCTGGACATCTATGTAAGCTATGGTATAAAGTGTCTATGAAAATAACGCCACATTTTGTTTTGTTCTCCTTTTAATGATCCTTTAAATGTCTTGAATCGAAAACATTTGGCTATTGTTTGTGCTATTGAAATTCTCCAGCTCTAATTGAAATTTGCAATCCACCCCAAAGATAATTTATGTGTTCGATTGGATCTGAGCTGCCGGCTCCTTTATTATCCACTTTCCCCACCCCCGCTGTTTAACGGCCATTTTCCTGTTTCTATTAAGCTCCTAATATCAAGAACAGAATTTTAGAATTTCATGAGCTTCATGTACATAATTTAAATCTGTCAGAATGTCTAGGTCCTATTCTGGGTATGCAAAGTTGTTTTCACCAATAATCTGAAGTAACTCTTGTAAAATAGAAGAAGAAACGCGTGCACATGATTTTAATTGTTCAATTTAAATATTCTTAGTTTCGTTGGTAAAATTGACTAGATGCGGTTAAAAGTTGACAAATTTTGCACCTTTGTTAGAGTCTAAGCTGCTAATGTAATTTTAGTGGTTATTGCGAAATACTGGCTATACGACATCAGAAATGAATCAGGTCAAACCTAGCCTTGCTATGAACAGTAATTAATTGGACTAAACGTTGACGGCCCTAGTGACAATGTGGTGTTTCAACTAGATTGCTCTCAAGAATATGGTGTTCGCGTGACATGAATGTCAAACTTCCAGCACAACCAGCCGAAAACCGAGACTCGCAGTACCTAGTTTTTTTAAACATTTGTGTCCAAGTGTGCACTGTCTGCCACTGTCAATCACGCTGTTCTTTTTAAACTTTCGGTGTTACCGTAATGCTTATGGTTCCCCAAAATGCATCCGTTATTAGGACTCATTTTATCCTGCCAATGTTTATCTTTTAATGTAAACATGTAGTATTTCACTAAAATCTCTATGTAAAAACCTTTAATTGGTTTATTCATTAACGCGACAAGTCCACATTCGCTAATTGTGCTTTGCGTCATTGGAGGCGCCTGGCGTGCAAGGCGATGGCACGACTGGGCCTCAGAAACGTTCCTAGCCAAAATATGTTGTAATGGCAAGACCGAAAAGCTAAGTGATGACGGCTGCCCTTTACCCCATTTTCGTACGGATTTTAACTCGTGTATTAGAAAAACAGGCGATTTCGTGTGGACAAGGACAAATTGTAGCTTTTACATATTTTTACAATAGTCGCACATCAATGCTTTTTAAAAGCATTCCACTCCGCTTTTAGTATACTTTTTAGTTGAAATTCTCGACCGTAACTCAGAAGGCTGTCAAATAGGAAATTCACTTCTGTTGAAGTTCAGAGATTCCAGATTTTTGAAATCTCGATCTAGGTGAACTGTAAGGTGCAACATCTTGCCTGTCTTGAGGATTGTCCTTAGAGTAGTTCAAATCTACCTCCAATATGACAGTTGTTTCACATTTGAGACGACAAATATTCACTGCTGGGTAGAGATTTATGAGAAAGACTAGGTGGAAACTTGATGTTCGTGCCATCTTTTACGGATTGGTGTACGAAGTAGGTAATAAAATTTAAATCGTCATGTACGAGAATTGAAATAGTTAGTACGATTGTCTTTGTGTGTATTTCTTTTTGAATTAATTAAAACAATCGTCGAGCTAGAGGCGTCAAAAATTTGACTTCTTTGAAAAATTTATCGTTTAATCAGGTGTTTTATCATATCTATGGTTTTAAGTGAATAACGATCTTCGAAATGTTTCATATACGTTAACTCAATGTGAAAACATGGAATCCAATACCTGAATATGGATGCAATTGGATGCGAACTACGCTGGTATGGTCGTACTATTCTACGTGAGGCGATGTCCACAGACCAGGTTTTGCCGAAGGCTTGAATCTCTTGAAATTTTATTTTAAATTCAGAACCTGTTGGTATGCCGATTCATTGACACAATGTAGTCTTGCACTTATTGCTTATCGATCGGTTTCAATCGGCTTATTATGGCCCCGTCAGGTTTGTAGGCAGGTTGAATTGGGGCGATGTCCTTTTGGGCTTCAGTTTTCTGTCTCAAGCCCCACACTAACGCGGTATTTGAACAAAAAGAGTTTAGGAATGAGGCTTAGGTCCGTCTGCCGTAGGTAAACGCATTTGCACGAAGTTTCGACTACCGAAATGCCCGTTCACTGTGCATGGCTTTTGGACACAATCAACACAGCATGCAACATTCAGGCTGGTTTGTAATGACTACGTCACACTCTGTGCTGCACCGCCTCATTGAGCTCGTATTTGCTTCTTAAAATGCATTCACTTGTCAATTCAAATATATTGTTAAATTCTTATCAAATTCAGTAGTCTTGTTTGCATAAAGGTTGTGTGCGAAACATAACTTTGTCCATTTGTGAAACTTAAACTTCATGTAAACTAAACGCTACAGTACCTGATTTTTTACACCACATGGTCGCGAAATATGCTAATTTTTTCACGGGCTTTGATTGGAAAGCTTAGAAGTGTTTCGCCAAGCACGTTATGAGTGATTCAGCAAAATGACTTTACTACTTGTCTTTCAGCTGCCTTCCCTTGCTTTATGTCCTGCAACTTTGTGGCGCTTGAATACTTTGTGTCACGTTGCACTCCTAGCTGTTTAAAGCCTCCTTTTTACATTTAAGGTAAATCTACCTCATTAGTTACTGCCAAAATTTAGTTAATTCGAGTGCTTCACGTTAGATTCAAATGTATTATTTTCTTAACCTGACATTAGCATTAAAGTCTACAACGAGTTTGATGCTGGTGCCAGATTTGGCTTGTCGAACCCGTGAAGGAGAAAAGTCGATTCAGAACGTTCGTCGAAGTATGCGTGTAATCCTAAACAACAAATTGTACGACACTAAATACATGCTAAATTTGTCGATACCGCTTTGGGCAAATTCAAATTGCATTCATCATGAGCGCCGGTCGTCTAGTGCAAATAGTAAGCGGCGCTCGGTAAGAATAAGAATTACAACAACGAATAAGTCAAGACTAACATGGTAAATGTTACACCCGGGGATTTCAATTATATCTGGCGTCGTAGTCAAATGCGCAGAGTCGGAAAATATATGTTTTACAAGCAAAGTGATGTGCAGTTGTTTCCCAAACATTCTTATGTAATTTACGACTGGTGTAATTTTGTCTACCTTTGCGTTCCCCCTCAGTGAGCGGACTAGGTTGCTGTGCGTGGTTTTGTAGCGTGGTCCGTAATTCCAACTGACTGATCATTCTATCCCAACAATTAAAAAACGAAAAATCTCGAGTAGGCAAAAATCTTTATTAGTGTTTGTTAAAGGAAACGAAAAATCGAATGAACAATCTTCCAGGTTTCCGTAATTGTGTTCCGCCATTTCCTTTGGTTGTTTGTTAGGCAAGTTAACAGTAGTGCTTTACTTTTGGTGAATGCGAACCTCAAGTAATCAGACACGTGCTCATTCCTGCCTTTCACTTGCCGCAATGTCGTGACATTGGACACTAAATTCTCGACTATCTGAGATGAAAGAAAAAGGAATCTTGATTACTCTCAACGGCGGCGTTCCGAATAGTGCACCGTTATTTTATCAAAATGCGTTTATTGATCTGATCTCAAGGATTTTCATTCCTTGGCGTACTGAGGTCCTTGTTGATTGCGTTGAGATCAAGGCTTATGGGAGGAATTTGCACAAACCTCACTCTAGATGTGCTCAGTTCATCAGTCGCTTGAAATGCACTGCACGACTGCCAACTAACTATGTCCTTTACTGTTGTGGTTAGTCTTTGTCAAAGACAATAACCTTAAACTCGAGACGTGTTTTTGGTGGCACGAGGACATGCGACTGATTGAAGTTTCCACTTCGAATTTGGTCTTAGAGCATCCGCATCACTACTCGAAAGTAAAGACTTGGCAACCTGAGGACCCAAAAACCCGTCCTCTTCCACAAATTGGCAACTCTCCGTATTCGCGTCTGCTCTAGGGCACTCTGTCGCTCCTGGGTCTCCGGGTTTCGGCGGCGGTTTCGCTCGTTGGGTGTCTGCGCGTCCACGCACTCGCGCATGTCCATTTAATGGGTCAGTCGCACACCTTGGGGAGTGGGGGGGGGGTGCAGAGATTTGCGCCGCACGGGGCCCACATGTCTATGTCGCAGTAGTCGCCCAGCCTCCCTTTCTCGCTAGCAGTAACACTTGCCAAGACATTGTAAGAAATCGAACCATGATTTCGTTGCATTCTAGCACTGGTACCTGGGGTCTTTGGAATGCCATCAAGTCACTGTTTTAAATCATTCCGCTTCAGGCCAATCCTCACTTCATTTTCGTATGCACTAGTTCATGGGATCAACTTAATCGTCGTCTGAAGTTTGGTTTTGTAAAGCTTTCTTAATGTTAGTCAAAGGGCATCTTAATTCTGATATGGTCTCTAGTGTATTCAGAGCGAAATTCGCAAATACCACAATCGCGAAAATGAAAGTTTCCCCCAAATAACCAGCACCATGTATATATACATAACCATACTGGTTTGTAGGCTCCGGAACGCATATTAACGAACTTCTTTACATGCGATTATTTTGGTAGGTCGTAGGGCGATTGCCTCAGTTACGATAAATGACATGTCCAGCTCTGGGGAAATACCAGAAGGTCTGTAACAGGTGCTTAACCTTGCTTAGGTATTTTCATAAATGCACATCCGGAAATGTAACATCAAAAACCTATTCATAAAATATTCGCGTTTCCTACAAGTTTTCGGGTGTCGAGTCGTAAGTTTGTATAAAAACTTTTTTTCAAATATTCGCATCTTTTCAGTTAACAGCGCTCAACATATTCTAGCCAAATGCGATGTCTGATCGTTCCGTTGAGGTTTAGTACAACATTGTTAGATTTCAATTTTATTCAGAATATTTGACTTGAAGAGTTTGCAACACTATCAACTTGTTATTTAATGGCTAGATACTTGTCACTTCCTAATAGACGTTTTGTCATTTTCTCAAAACTCAAGATGGCGTTCTAGTTTGGATGATTAATAAGGTAGTTGGCTTCTTTCGTTGCCGTCATTTCCACTCATAGGTGCTGTAGCTGATAATCCTGGTTTGGTATCTATGCTCAAATTTTCAGTTAGTGCCGACTTTGCCTATAAGCAAAAACAACTAAAGAATTGCCAGTGTTTTGATTTTAGGCTGGAGAATAATTGTAATTTATCAATTGATGCAATTGCTCAGTTAAGCGATGAAGGCACCTGTCAGAATGAAATCACTTTTGGCTTAAATATTTCCAGCGTATAGAACATTTATAAGCTTTTATGTTGAAGCGACTTTTTTATTGGAAAATTTGACCGAAGCCACCGTTTCCGCTCTGTTTCAGATAGCACTTACTACGGCTTCGGTTTGATGGACGCCGGAAAGGCCGTGCGGTTGGGCGAGCTCTGGCGAACTCTTCCTCCACATCACCGGTGTACCACAAACGTCAAGCAACTTTCCAGGTCCTGCTTCTTTGTTATGCTTGATCTCTGTCAGCTTTTCAGCTTTTTAATACGTGTTCAAGGCTCCAGGTTGTGTAATGGAATAGTTTACTCGACTTAACTTCGTTGTCGAGATCCCTTGTTATGGCTTCCACGAAACCAGCATGCTTTTAAGTATTACTCTCATTGGGAACAACTGACAACTTACTATTCCCACAGTTTGCTAGAAGACAATTTTTTTTCTCCGCGGAAGGTGCTATCAAGCAGTAGTCTCTTTTTGTGTGTCAGCTAATATTCAAACGTTAGGTTTTAAGTTCTTTGCTCTCCATTACTAAAGGCACTGACGGATTGTCTAACACCAAAGCGTTTTTTGAGCCTGGAATGCCTTATGCTTCCATATTATCATAAAAGCTGCTTCCTGCGGCTTACCGTAACTTTCCCAGCTTTATCATGCCTCTTGGCCATTCCCCTCTTAGTGCACCCCGCCCCAACCACTACTATCTCATGTGATTTTTAGCAGTTAACCTTTCCTTATTGCACTTAAATGTTGCCAAAAAACTCAACTCAACCATGTATTTCTCTCGATCTGAATGGCACTTCAATTCGATTTCTTCAGTTTTTCCACAAATTACGTCATAGCAAACTGCGCTAATGCGTCGCATAAATAGTCTCGACGCTCGACTTTATTATCTAAATTATGCTTGGAATATTCTTTTTTTTCCAGAAACTTGACATTTCTTTTCTCTGAGACATACGCTTTCAACTTCACCGGTTGTCGAGCTGCCTCAATTTCGACGCTAGATGGCAGTCAGGTGCCACAGCATAAGATCAAGGAGGAGGGCGAACCGGTCGCATACATTGAGCACATTCAAGTCTTCATGACCGTGCGCTATGCGCATCGAGGACTCGTCCGCGTGAGAGTGGTATCACCGTCAGGTTTGTCCCGTGGACCATTAAATAAACCCCATCACGACGTTTGCGTGCTCCAATTTCTGAGTTAAAAATCGCCATGCACTTCAAGGTTTTCTGCACTTTTTCCCTTGCTGCGCTTAGCCACGTGGTAAACCACATTATCCAGTCCGAAATTTCTTCTAATTCGAAAACTTTTCTATTTCCATGAAGTACCTGCAAGTAAAATTTGTATTTCGCTTAGGAGGCCGGGCAGGCTGCAGAAAATTTAGAATAATTTTTATTTTCGGATTTTTAACATTGAACCGTTTGTCTGCGGTATCGGCAACAAGCCAAATTGAAGTGTGCGGAATCACATTTTCTTTGAACCTTTACTGAACCTGATTTCCTTTTTAATTAAAAGCTAGCAGTAGTCTGGGTATTTTGTTCGTCGTAAAGTCGTGTGGATCACGAGACATTAGCCAGAACCTCTTATTTTGTCTGTAAATTAAATGAACGCCACTCCGGCAGTTAGTGTTTATATTTAATGTTGACTTTGTGAATTATTTAAAGTAACAAGTGCGTCACGAGACTATACAGTGGAAAATCCAATCACGGAAAAAGTGCGGCCATTTATTCATCCACTATTCGGAAATGTGTGATGTGCTTTGCGCGGGTAACGTTATGCAAAAAGGATAACTTGTGTCTATAACTAAATTAGGACATTAAAGGCCCTAAAATCTGTGGTCGCTTCGGATACGGTATGGAAAGCATTTTACTAAAGTCTTCAGAAGCTCAATTAAGGTGAAAATTTTTGCCTCTGGTTTTAGGTAAGGAATATCCATCTTCTTGATGACTTTTTCCATATCTAAAGGAGCATTTGACATGAGTTTATGCTTCAATCTGGTCGGTAGGGTTAGGTGGGGATAGATCCAATCCATCCACCGTTTCAATGTTGACATTTGCCGGTGTGTTCATATTGCCACACCGTTAATTTCAAGTGGAATAACTTAAATTTCCTACCCACTTCTAATTCCATTTTCCCAGATTTTTCCGCATGCCACCACATACAGTCAGCCTTTTGTAGTTTCCACAGGTTCTTGAGGTCATCAAGGTGGCAACTGACATCAATATTTGCATTAACGTTTTTCCAATCAACACAATTGTTAGCCTAGATTCCTATCTCATTGGCTCAACCGCATTTTGAGCTTGAGCGCACAAGGCTGTATAGTTGTACTTGAATTTTTTTATCTTGAGGTGATTTAAATGTGCAAATTATGATGCCGGATGCGGTTGCTATTCCTTAAGATTACATTTTTCTTAAACTTTCGTCCTGTTCCTCGACTATGCACGTAGAGGTTAGGGACATAAGGAGCACCAAAAGCGTCTAGGGGCTACTTCATTGTTTTGCAAATGACAGTCCATCTGTTTTGTACACGGCAAGCATCAAGTGGTATGATACGGTCAAAAAATAAGTTTGAAAGCCTGGTGTGCATTCAGTTTGGCCCTCTACACCATGTTTGCGGCACCCGCGACTAGCCGTTAGTTGGTAAAATGGACGATTCGAAAATTGGCCAACCACGTGAAGGTTGCAGCAATCAAGCAAGTAAAAGGGAGGAGACTAATAACACGCAGATGATTGAACAAGTTCTCCATAATTTGTTCTATTTTCTTTGGTTAACTTCATTTATTTGGTAAAACCCGCACATGTTCTATGAAGGATGGATTTGTGTGCGTACATGCGTTTCCGTGCACGTGCATTAAACTACCTAAACGCCGCGGTAACTAGCACTTAAATGTCAACACGCATGGTGGTCACTTGCGTTCCCTACTTCCCCCTCGATCAAATTCAAATAACCGTCTGCAAAATTCTTAAATGCAAGTAACTGCACCTTTCTTAATAATGCTTGTCATTGCTCACCGCGAATTGGTCGTTGTCTAACTCACTAGGGCTGGGAAGTCGAGGGCCATAAGTTCAAATCTTTCTGGAATAAGCTACCTCAATGTTGCAGACATAAGTTCCTCTAAAGAGGGCATGATTATTTTTCATTATTTTCAGGTGTAGCAAGCTCAATTTCGAGCAGTTTTTGTTGCTATTGGCTTGGCCACCTACACAATTCTCGCGCTCAAACATCTCAAATATATAAAAGCTAAGCAGGTGGAAAAGTTGCACTAGGTTGTTCATGGAAATGGAGAGTAGTAGAATTTGCGACCACAGTTGGTTGGAAGACAGAGTCGTTGTTGGTCACTTTGTAATAGGGGAAAAAACGTTGCCAGGGGACAGTGAGGCAGGC